GAATTTATTTATGCTAGAGGTCTGTGGGGTTGCGGTGGCCGACTGCTTATGACGCTTGTCGCGGCTCTTTAGGGCAGCAAACGGTAGCAAGCAGCTTCCAGTTTACTTAAGCAGATTTACCTATTAGTAGAGTAAGATTTTCTGCGTAGTTCTGAGATGACACTGCCACTATGCTCTCAAGTATCCATCACAGCACAAGTGCGAAATTTGGTAGGTCAGGAAAGTATTGATGTATCCTCAATCACAGCCAGCAGGACACGGGCAATTTCTAGCGAAGATCGAGTACTAACGTGATAAGCCTACCATGCTGGAATAATCAGAGGGTCTGTACACCAAAAGAGTATCGAACTTTCGATGGTAGAGAATCCACCATTCCATAGCATCGTATAGTTGAGTGACAGTTCAAGTGCCTTATAAATTAACTCGTAATGCACAGCCAATGTAGCAAATCCGTTTTTGCCCTAGTAGACAAATCTGCTAGCCAATCACCCCGAAAAGATATTATGCTTTTTTTCGGTCTGAATGGGTAGTCTAACGAGTGAGTGTGCAACTTGCAGAGCATATCTAACCCATGCTGTACAAGATCTTGTTACAGATAAGGGTAGTCATGAAAACTGCACATTAATTATACTGATATATATTACAGATCTATGAGACACTGGTTCACTCCCAACTCCTAATACTGCATTGTAATCAATCCAAGATAGCCTTATAGAACGGCTTAGCTAAACGACCGCCATGATTGCAAGGAGAATCGCCTCAACGAGCCTCTGCACCATTTATAAAGAAAACAAGCAGCAATACGTGAAATATTCGAAGGCTTTTATGGAGGATGAATGCGAGTAAACGAATCAACTGAAGGAAGTGCTGAGACTGACACAGTAAATGGTAATTACGGTCACGTAAAACTGGTGTGCTGACCTATAATAGTTTTGAGAAAATAAAGGAAAAATTCTTTTTTCGTACCCATCAACAGCATAGACAAATTCCCAGACTAATGTGGTGGTGAAAAACAACGGCCACTGGCATTTTATGGGATCAGTGGTGTAATACTCAGATACAAAGTAGAAAAGGATCAGATCTATCATGAATAAACCGAATTGTAAACACGCTTGTGTGAAGAATTTCAATTCCCCTCGGCATATTTAACTCCTCAATGCCTGAAAATAAGTTCATTAATACGCAGGAAAAAATTCCTGTAGCCATAAAAATAGAAGCGAAGTAACATCTCAAAGTCAATACCTTAGACTGCTTGTTACATGTAGCGATTGTTAATCGAAGACGAATATAATAGTAAAAACGGAGTCGCAGTAGTTGCGTGAGAACGACCATGGATAGGTATTTAAGTAGAACACAATATAACACTCATCCACTAAACACTGCCTATTAACAAATTTAAAAGTATATGCATCTATTACAATGCATATGTAAATTAAATCCATCAAAGCCATCTAGTCTGAAAAATCACGTTTGAGTTCTTCTTGCGTTTTACTGATTGGAATAAAAAGTACTAAATCCGTAGATTTCTATGGTCATAACATAAACATTCTTATTCTGCGACGAATACTTCACGATTTTTTAAAACTTGTGGATCTGTTTCATTTTTGTTGGTCTCCCTAAGGTCAATCTCTCTTCGAAACATGCGATGATATCGAAGACTTGTTCGCAGTTATCAAAGGCATTATCGTAAACGACTTATTTCTAAACTAATTATGTAAGCTCTAAGCTCATAGAATTGACGGAATGAGTTTACTTCTCAATGATCACACCGGATTGCGGATGTCAGTCAGAATTACCTCGGTGTTTGTCTGATATCTGGCAACAAATGAAGATTCGACCCCATTCGTTGAGCAAGAACTTTACTAATACTCTAAACGAAGAGCTCTGTCCTGCGAGAAATATGCGTGTGTATTTCCGTCACAGAGTTACATGAAGGGTTTTTCAAAAAAAAACAACTATGTAGCGAGCTAGCCAGAGAATTGAGCTTTCGAATGGTTGCTAAGACTCTTACGGAAAGTCTTTGTCCAGCGAATAGGGTCGAATCATTTTTGTTGCCAGATAATAGACAAGTACCATTAGCTCTTTCTACTTCACAACTAAATGTCACTAAACTGACCCAACAAATATGGAGCCGTTCTGAATCTCACTAGTTTTTATTTTTGATTATGCTAAAATGAATTAAGAGTCGATAACGTTCTCGGGGTGGCCAAAGAAGGTATATTATGGCAGAAAGAAGAAACGCAAGCTAACAGAGGAAAATTGGTACAGCCTTTATATGTCACTTTTTTGGTGACAAATTCTTCTTTTTGCACAGGAACTTCTCTCATATGTTGGCTGGAGAAAGTATTAATCTCTACATTGGACAATTTAGAAGAATTCTTCTTCACGAAGAGTTTGTTTATCACGCATGAGTCGTGTTGAAAAGAGATTATTGTTGCTGATTAGTGTAGTGAATTTTTCGAAACAAGGGTGAATCGCGTTTTCACTTTCTATGTTCGCTCGTTTTCTTGCGGTTACTTTCAAATTCAAAAGCATTATTTTTTAAATAAACACATTTTTTATTGCTTGATTTTTTGGTGTAGAATCTCCCAACACACGATAGATAGTAGTTTTCTAAGGGACTGTCACGGTAAAGTACTGGTGAAGGAAAAATAGCATCAACTTTAACATAAAAATCAACATTGCCGGCAATCGATGCTTAGCTTATGACCAATAGTTAAGTCAGTGTATTATCAGAAAAAACAGCTATAGTTATCTTTTCATATACGGTAAGAAATGAAGCACGCCAAGAAGCCAGACGATTGTGATCATAACGGTGGTATTCTTTTGGCTTAAGAAACTTCGGCTCTCAAGTGGCCATAAATGACAGTCAATCTGTAATTTTAACGACCAATAGAAATCACGAAACAAACAAGTATTTACTTTCACTAAACAATTGGACTCTGCCATATGTAGCGTCATGTTCACACGTATAATTTAAACTCGTAAGTGCCTGCTTGCTACTTTGACAAGTGAAACAAGTGTAATTAACGTCTTAACAATTTTCTCATTCATTAAGAAAGTCATGTACATTTAGCACCGACGTAATTACTCAAGCACTATGTTGTTTAAATCATCTTCCTGGTTTGTGATCATTACTACAGACGGAATTATATTATCATTTTAGCGTTAAATACATAAATATCAGGCCTTTTCGTTTGGTATTGAAGCAAGAAATAACCATTAATTATTGTGATAACTACTAATACAAGAAATTACTGATAAATTTCTAGTTGCTCGATCGCTTAAATCTCAACAGTAATAGCTCTGAAATTAACTTCGTGAAGACGTGAAGACGAAAAAGCGCTGTCAGGGCAAAAAGAAAACCACATTTCAGACATGATGTGAATAGCTCTATTTTGAATTTAATGCTGGACTTACTTGGCAAAGTGAAACAAAAAAAAGGGTTTGCACCGATAGAAGGTCAAAGTATCATTAAAACAGAGAAGAATTCCTGAATGAATAACGGAAATTGCGCACCACTTGAATGGGCGCTCCCTTTCGACGGTGATAGTTGGAATCGCTGTATGCAGCTTCATTCAAAGCGCGTGATTTTCCTTTTTCATTTAGAAATTGCTCTCCGCTGTGGAGAGATAAGTTCTTTGTATTGATATTGTTAACGAGACTTTATTATATCGTGCTACGGGCACAAAGCTTTTTTTTTTGCTTCGGGTTGCCAAATAAGCCCATCATAAAGTTCAAGCGAACAACCATTCACGTCGAGTGTAAAACGTGCAACTCTTTTCGCCAGATAGCACTCTTTGTAAGATACGAAGAGTCAATTTTTGAGTCAAGCTTGTTGAGATTTAAGCTATTGTAACGACTACCGAAAATTCAGCGAGAGCCCACAATTAAAATTTGGTGTTTATTGCTTTAGTGCCAAACCTCATAAGAAGACCTAATACAGTTTTCAGATCTGTTAAGTGAAGAGACAAAATGAGAGCAGACGCACACTTCCGAAATCGCCACCATAAATCCTCCAATTAATTTTCCAATATATGATGCAATGGAGAAATCAGTGTGTCTAAACGAAGTAAAGTGACAGATTTTTTGACAAATGATTTCTAACGTGATACACGATGAAGTGGACATTCTATAAGTAGAGGTGTAAGCAGTTTCACGCTTAAAGGTGTAAAGGGGATCAAATCAAGTGACGAGAAGTGCATCTTTTAAGTCAAATAAAAGACACTAACTATCTCGACTCTGTATTTGAACATCTCGATCACATTTGATCTTTTCTCAGAATTTCAAAATAAGTGCAGGAATGGAACAATGGAGGAGATTGCCAGACCACAGACAATAAATTGATAAGGATTATGACATATTTTGAGCCATAGGTCTAGTGCTATATAGGCGCCTATTTCGTCCTATTGGGACTCATCAGTAGCACCCTCCCTCGGTTCCGTCGATCTCTTGAGGTGAAATAATCCTCTAAAGGAACCAATAGGACGAAATAGGCGCCTATATAGCACTAGACCTATGGCTCAAAATATGTCATATCCTTATCAGATTAAATCATTTTTGAGCGGGTCTGTAAAGAAGCAGTCTATAGCAGAACAATAAATTGAGATAAAACTCACAGAATTATCACTGATGTACATAGAACAAGAAAAATGCAAGCGTTATGAAATTAGCTACAGAATGCGAGAAGCAGAGCTGTTGAAACGACTTTGCCAACCTTCCGCTTTGATGAGTACCACCATTGGAAGACCCATCGGTAAGAACACCAAACACACCAACCTGAATATAGCAGAATGATCTAAAAACTACAATATAGAATGAGTGGATAGTACTGAAGACACGTTGACGCGCTTTCATGTTTCTCAAAGGATTTTTCGTATCAAACTACTCGAAAATCCTAATATTTTTACTGCATTTTTGGCATGTTTCATATATACCTAAGGGAAACGTGGTGAGCAAAAAACGGCAAAATGCATGTGGCAAATGGACCGCAAATGTGTGCCTCTGTGGTGTAGTGGTAGAGCACGCGCCCGCGGCGTGGATGAAAAGCGGGTTCGATTCCCGCCTGAGGCCGTTTTCTGATCACCACTCCATTCTTTGAGTGTAGTGAACTACAGTAACTGCTTTCCATGTGAAAAGCTAACAAAACACTCCCCGCTCAGTATGTCTTTTGATAGCACATATATACATTTATATATGAAATTCACAGCTTTGACGTGCTGATGACCACCTTTATCTCTTCGAAGAGGACCATTTGCAGTAAAGCTTTCATTGTGCTCAAGGGGAACGGGAAAGTAGAGACAAGACATGTGTTTCATACATGTCGCGCGTTTAACGAGCAGATTTGTGGTACTTGTTTAAGAAATCTATCCGTTTTGCAGAGATTTATAGATTTTCTGCATCGAAAATGTAAAAAATTTTGTTTCATCGTTCATCGTTCTAGGGACGGGGATTTTCAGTTTTTCTTCTTATGTTCTCGAATACACCTGCTTACTATGCTTAATCTAAACCTACGCAGCCTGTGCTCAATCACGAAAAGCGAATGAACTTTTAGACGAAATCTTTAAGTCTCACATTCAAGTGGTTTCATCTAAAGTTCTTATCAAAGTGGAGAAGAATTTCAAATTTGGTAACCGAATTCGCACTCGCACATGTGAATGGCACTCGTGCGATCGATTGATCGCGTAGCGATACACAGACATGCACAAACCCGAGCTGACAAGCAATGCGCGGCACATTCCTCTACTACGAAATGGTCGCTTAGAATCTGAGAGAAAAGCTCTCTCCTACTGAAATTATTCGTGGGTAAAACACAAAACTTTTCGTTCTGTCTTGCAGCGCTGCAATGGAACCTTTTGTAAAGAAACGAATTTTGGATTACTTCGAGATTCCAGCTATCGAACGATAGATAGAATTAAGGGAAGGTTTTTTTTCCTATAAAAAAACTGAGGCGATAACCTGCGAAAAGACGAAAAGGCCGTGCAATATGTGTGAACACATTTTATTCTTGGCGCTACATCACTGGTAAAAAGGCCATTGTGAAAAACAAGCACATACGGTGGTCACCCGAAATGCAATCTTTTGAAAGATCACTAAAAATATAATGTAAAGATTTTGTTCAACTAAAGAAGTCTGTTCAGATTTCCTTGCCATCTAAAGAAAAGAGCCGTCTTTGTAGTCATATCGTGTAAATCACATGCAGAGTGAATTAGAGATCTACAAATTACACAAAATGATGGAAAGAAGGATAGTGTAATAGCTTTCTGATTAGTGTTCTCTAACTGCCTCAATTTTCGCAAACTTTATTTGATGGGTACGAAATAGTCAACAAATTCAAATGTCGAATTGCTCTGAGCATTTTACATTGCATGAGATGTATGGGTTGTTTGACAATTCTTTCGCTTAAACAAGAGCAATCATGCTTTTCAATTGATTGTCATATTTTTCTAACTTTCATTGTTATCATTCTAGTTGCTATACAGAAAAATTTCCCTCCATGCAAAAGACACTTTTGTGAGAAAAGACGAGCATCGTATGAGAGTCTATGAAATAATTTAATCATCTGTTTGTCGGTCCATGTTCCACTCACTCCATTTCTTCCTGATTTTCAAAATCGTTATAGCCAATGGCAGTTGCCTTTGTCGCCTACCTAATTGGAATATGGTGAAGTGTGAATTGAAATCAATTGCCACGAAAGCCAGTGATAAAAGCATGTCGGATATCTTTTCTTTGAGACAAAATGAGACATGTTCATACAATCAAAGCTATTTTTTATAGAAAATCGATAAAATATCTTCACTGACACGGAAACAGAATTAGCATTCTTACTTAGGAAGAGGGAAAAAAAAACCATATCAAGCAGTCGCCACGAAAATCAAATGAGGTGAAGGCTATGAAGAACTTTTGGCCTACACTAAAATATAATATTTTACTCCATATAAAGCAAAATGAGAAGTTAGCCCGATCAATCGCGTTTTTCCCAATTAAAATAGTAGAATGCCGAAGCGTGTGGAACGGAACGAAGAGGTGGTAAAAAGGTGCCCTGCGGCATTTATCGCATATCGAGTCGAGAAATCACAAAATTCAACCACTATAAGTGCTCTTAAATTTGTGATGGTCCATTGATAAAATACCCGAAAAGCTGTCGAAGTGTGCTAGTGACGATCTAAAGCCATGAAAACAGTATCTATCAAGGTCTCCATAAAGTCTAGCAAGTATAAGTAGGAGTCACACCTAGACTACACTATAACAAATTACTGCGGCTATTTTGTAGTGTGAGCGTTTTATGGATGGACATTCTCATAGATGTGAAAGCTATTTTCCTGACTACAGAATTGGAATTAGTGTATATAAAAGACTGCCGAATACACAGAAATGCACTTCAGCTGACGTTAAAAAATCGATGACAAAAGTTCAATGGCAGTGGGTTAACGATGGACTATCTTATTCTTTATCCCGACTTATCACAAAATGTCGAAGAACATCCGAACACTACGGAATAACAGCAAGTATATGGAAATCAGCGAGAAACGGATATGGAATTAAAGAAAAGTATAGAAAAATATTAAAAAAAAAAAAACGTCCAAGTAGAGCCCCCCAAGGGTAGATTAGTGACTTTTCTCAAGAGTTTCAAGACGTGAAGTGCCTTCCTGCCTGCAAAGAGACCGTACTTGTCATCACGAAAAACCACAGGAAAGTCATACATAGCAAATTTGGAAGACCACGAATGCACGCCGTCCATGGATATATCCACGAGATGACATCATGACCCTGTAGCTGTTCACACCCATGTGGTACCACTACCACTATATGCCATGCGTCTACCACTCATATACAGATGATTATCATGAGGTAAACAAGGTTACTAAGTTAAGTTAGTAGTTACGACTTGGCGATGAGTTAGAGTGTTAGTTGCTCACAACTAGTATACGGCGCGTAAGTGAACTAACTCAACAAGGAAGCCCTGTTCTGACTCTATATCCTGAGTTAGCCAGTTCGGTCTTGAGCGAATAGCTTCAAGTGAGCGCAATCTGCTGACATTTCTTCAAGGAACAACCAATTACGTTTCGTGGAGGGTTTCCCGTTTATATGACACGTCTACTACTGTTC